GTGAATTTAGAAGTAAAAATTATAGACGGAAAATTCCATTACTGTAAAATTTATATACTGGATTCATCTAAATTCTAATTTTTTTGTATTATAAATTTAAAAAAGTGTTGTAGAATTTAAACTAAGCAGAGTTGTAAAAATATTACGTGGGTTGTTCATGGAATCATGAGATGTTTTACCTTTTTAACCTTTTGGGATCGATGATGGAATCAGGATTGGAGGCTGGCGACGCGTGCGGTAACGTCGCTTGTTGTGGTTCGGGCTTGCATGAGCTCTGGACCTCTCGCGTCTCGGTGGTCGGTGATCGCCGTCTTCTCGTCATTTTTGCTGTTTTGGTCGGAAGATAAGGAAACTGCAGGGGGCAGAGAGGGGGAGATGTCATCGGAGAACATGGACATTAAATGGTCGTCGTCGAGGCGGTTGAAGCCGATTTTGGGTTCTGACGTAAGTATGCCGTTGGAGTTGTCCGACGGAGGCTGTCGCGTGGTGCATCCTTCTGCCAATGGCTGGTCGAGAAAGGCGATGGAGTCGCTTATAGAGCGACGGTGGGAAGAGAAGTCAAGGAACTCGTCAACCCAGGATGAAGTAGTATGGCTGTTGGAAGCGCCGTTCATGGTGGTAAGGGACGGTGGTGGCGAGGTGGTGGAATTCATGAAGTTCGGAAATGTTACCGGATTCTGCTGGTGTGGAAAAGAGGGCCAATTTTCGGGTATTTTGGGAAGGTAATTGTGCCATTTCTCCTTTTCCCCAATTAAGGGTATGTGAAATGTCCACTCCCACACAAATATAAAGGAGAAAAATGTGTTTTCAAAAAGGAAAAAATGAAAAAATTTAAAACCGAGACAACCATTTAACCAAGAAATGAGAATAAAGAGGAAATAAGACTCAGAGAGCAAAAGCAAGCATTTATTTTCGGTACTTCAAATGTTAGGTTGCTTAATTGTAGATGCATAGATCTAATAAAATTAGTTTTTATAATCTGGTGTAAACTTAATTACTAATATCATTCTTTGAATTTAATTATCTTATTTTAATTTAAGAATCAAGGTTATCTCATTTGATGCCAAATAAATAGTTATATATCAAATAGAAAAATTATTTTATAATTTGCATTATATTAGATTGCCAAATATAAATTATTGAATAGAAGATATTGGTTCTGATGTTAAAAATCCTCTTTCATTTAAAGGTTCTTATTTTATAATTTGATATAATTTAAATTGTAAAACAGATAATTCATATCAAATTACAAGATTATTGAGTAATCATATCAATTGAAGCTTTTGAGCCTGAGGAGTTGAATATGGTTATCTCTAGAGATCAAATAAGGTTCAAAGGTATGCTTCAAACGCTGTCTTGAATGCAAAAAAATTTCGTATAAATGAAGCTCATGTGGGTACACAGATCATGATTCAACCAACTAGAAAAAATAAAACGGATTGTTTTTTCTTTTTTACTTATATTCCAATTGGATTTTGTTTATTATTTTGTGATACTTCTTCATTTTGAGGTCAAGAGGTCCTGTTGGTTTGTCACATGGGGAGAAGATTAGGGACAGCTAGCAACAGCTGGGAAGAGGATTTGAGTGGAAAGTGCAGAGGCAGTATTAGAGTTTAATATGTCACCGGAGGAATCAGCCCACCACATGCCGATTTGATCCCTCTTCTCTCCTTTGCATCAGCACGTCATACATATATCACTTAAGATTGCATCATTCAATCAAACAAACATAAGAGTATTGACTATATACTATAAAAATTAGGATTGAGAAAATTAAATTAAGAAGGTTGGGTAATTAAAATATGTTTAATGAATCAACATGTGAAGAAAATTTAAAAATGATGCTTCAGTAATTTTATATAAAGTCTCAACATTCATCTTACTTTTCACATTTTTTATAAATGTTTATCAAATGAAAAAAAAATCGTTTATCATATCAACCAAAACAAAGAAAAACTAGTTCATTTTAAAATTAAAAAATTTTATTTAATTTCATAATTAATACACCTAAACTCAGGGAAATTAAGCACTTTTTTGGTCATTTGCTTTCTCTTGGGATTAATTGGGGTAGTTTGATATTTTCATCACAACCATTCTATTTATTTCATATCCTTTTTCGGTGTGGTACCAAAGTGTTTGTTAAACCTTAATTGAAGAAAGAAAATACTTGGCATCAGCCCTCCTAGTGATTTTGACGTGAGAGACATTCTTTTAAGAAGATATGGAAATAAAATTTAAAAAAAAATCATAAACTTCATAAAGGGCTTGTTTGTTTGTGAAAAATATTTTGGGGACTGATATGCCTATCATTCCAAACATTTAATGGGAGGATGATTAGCTAAGGAAAGAAATGGGAAATTTTTATTTTTAATAACTTTTAGTCCATCAATTTTTTAATTTTGTGCCGAATTGGTCTTAAAACTTTTTTTAATACCTTTTTGGTCCCAACTCCCGAAATTCTTAAACTAATTTAAGCTTCTTCTTTTTCTTTTTCTTTTTTTTTGGTAGATGTGCCCAACAAGTGTGCTTCCTTGAACTAATTTTGTCCCGTAATATATCAAATTAGTGCAAAATTCAAAGTTTATGACCTAAATTAGCATTTAACTTTTTCAAAACAAATTTAAAAGTTAAGTGATTAAAAATGTATCAAAAAAAAAAGTTAAGAGACCAGTTTGGTGTAAAAATAAAAAGTTAAGGGACAAAAGAAAAAAGGCATTTAAACTAATTTTTTTAGAAAAACACAGTGCATACCTCCCATGTGGACTGTTTGTAAGAGCCCAGCTTTGTTTGCTTTGTCCCAAAATTGGAGTCACATGGCGGGATATGTGTCCCTTTTTGCCTCTCTCTTTCATATTCATGTGTTTGCTTGGTCCCCTCCTCTTTCCTTTGACATGCATGTTGAGGATTTTTGTTTTTTTTTTATAACAAAAGTACTAAAGACATACTTTAATAATTATTAAGGAAAAGTTGAAAAACATGTTGAGTGCCTTCTGTCAAGTAAAAGTTTAATTGTCTGAACATAATTTTTATTCCACTTGTTTTGTACTTTAAAAATTACAACCGCGCTCCTGGCGTTTTAAGGCGAATTAGCAAAAAGAGCGTTTCATCCAGTCTAGGGTTTGGGTTTCAATTCACCATTCCCCCTTCCCAACAATTGTGAATGTTCAAAATGTTGTACTTATAATTTTGATAATTACAAAATACATTTGAATGACTAATTGGTTCATTTAAGTGTATAGTTAAACTGTTAAAAGATTACTAAGTAAATAAACTAGGATTGCACTAAAAATGGACCAAAAAGGCTGGACTGTGCAGAGAGCTGGCTTAAAGAAATATGTTGCCGGCTCTAGAAGGCAAAAGTGTAGAGAGCCGGCTCTAAGAGCTACAGCTGACTCTACAAGTGAAAATTTCAAATTCGTTGTTTGGCACACGCAGAAAACAGATGCAATATCGACTCTGACTTTGCAGCTAGCTGTGAGGACGCATTAAATGCACAATAGTCAAGTTATTTGAGGATTTCTTTAATATTTTAAAGTCAGATTTCCAAAGCCGGCTTTACATTTTATAGTTCGCTCTCGAGGAAAATAGAATGGGCAAGAAACCCATAAAGCCGACTTTACGTCTTGCAGTCGGCTCTTCGAGAAAAAAAGAATGTGCAGGAAACCTGCAAAGTCGGCTATAGAACTATAAGCCAACTATGTAGAGTCAGCTTTATACTTTAAGCCGGCTGCACTGACAATTTTGCAATTCGAAATTACACGACCTGTAGAGCATTAAATGACCCCAACGGCTAGTAACGACTATTTTTGACCATGGGGTTATAAATATGGTTGGTAGAAGATCTAGAACGAGTTTGAAGAGCATTGTTTTGAATATCTTTACCTACCAACTTGTGCTTTAACTTAAGATTTTGATCTTTAAGAGATCTTTACTTGTAATCCTTTTCTTGTTCTATTTGTGAGTGATCTTGAGGGTGTGACTATTCCTTTAAGAATGATTTGCAGACATGATTGTTTGGGTTTATCCTGTAAAGGGGTGAGATTTGAGAGAAATACTTATCTTCTTGTAAAAGGATTGAGTGACTTCTTTAAGTTACCCTTGATTTTGTTAGTGGAGAGTGTATAAGAAATCCTTGGTGAGTGAAGCCAAGATAGAGGATAGGCTCCAAGTGGTTGGACCGAACTTCTATAAAATCATTGTGCAAACTCTTCTTCCCTACTTTCTCTTTGATTTTTGTTTGGTGGTTGCAAAGAGGTAAAAATCTTTGAACTCCAATTCTCCCCCCTCTTAGAGTACATTGAACCAATACAAAATTAACAATTCACAACTTGATTACATTAATATTGGTTAGTCCATTCATCACATAATCCTACCCGTTTCCTTTTGCAAGGTAACCTTCCTTAATTATGATTTTGCTAATTAACATTATTTCTTCATCTTATCGATCGTTGTGTTGTAGGTTGCACCTGGAAAGCAATATGATCAAAGAGGCTCCCTTAGGGCACAAAGGCTCTATTGATCATGAATGTGAAAATTGAGTATGTGGGTTTCAATACAAGATTTGCATCTAACTTCAAACTAATTGATTATAAATAAAGTAACATTCTTTATATTTAAGTCATACTTGTTTCTTATCATATTTTAATATAAGATTTTACCACTTAACAATTGGACTTTTAGTTATGCACTTTACGCAGGATATGATACACAATATCTTTTTATTATAACTATAAATAAAATTGAAAATTTTATTATTTTTTTGGTATTAATCTCTTGGTATTTGGTAATTATATTGGGTCCCGACAAATGCAGAATTAAGTTGCATCGGACCTCATTATGGGGAAATTCTTCCAATGTATGTTTTTTCATTTACGAGACTCGAACTCAAGATCTTATTTAAAGAGAATCGAGATTCTTTTACTCAGATCAACAAGTGATTGGTGAAAATTTTATTATTAAAGTGTATGAAAAGGATAAAGATAGGTGCACACCCGGGTCAACACCCGGGTGTGCACAATACCTCATTGAAAAAAAAAAAAACCCAACCCCCCCGGTCCCTTTTTTTTTTTCTCTATGTGGGGGTGCACACCCGGGCACCAATCAGCATCCGTATGAAAATACTCCAATTCATTATATTATATATTTAGAAGTCCCTTAATTCACTCCAACACTTAAACAAAACGGGGTGTGTGTTTGTGTTTTGAAACCAATTATCAACCGTTAATTTTAATAAAATGAAATAGATATTTTAGATTTTAAATAACAATGATTAAATTTATTCTGATTAATTCAAGTGATAAAATGTTATGTGTTTATATCCATTATCAACAATGATTAACTTTATTTTTGAAGGAGATGGAACTTAAATCTTGGGCTTGATGATGCAACTTTCAAACTAGATGGACTGATAGGCAAGGTAAACTCTCATTTTACATTATTAAGCAATATTTAAGTTTGGCACATTAGTTTTAAGATCCCAATTAATTAATTCTTATGTACCGTTACTACTAAACTCTTCTTTTTCAACAATTAAGTATTAGTAACATGGAATTGCACGTCGGTAATACAACTTTTCACTGACGAAACCCATGTTGCTGATACTTAAATAGTACTCACTCCCCCAAAAAGTGTTCTTCACTTTCAGCAACATGGTTCTTGTTGTTGAAAGTGAATTTCAGCAACAAAAA